ATGCTACGATCGGCGGACGTATTCCATTCGGCTGTCAGTACTAGACGAGAGCAATGCGTAGTCAAAAGCCTGGCCAGCTGTATATTGTCTCAGGGAAGACAGCAACGAAATGCCGAAGAACCAAGCATTGAGAGAAAACTGCAGGTTGCCTTTTTCTGATAGGAGGAAAGCTATCGGAGGGGAGTCACCGGAAAGACGTCAGTAGGATCAGACAATCTGGGCTGCTGGGGGCGGGGATATTTGGGTATCGGGTCGGAAGATCCAATCGGAATCGAGGATACAAGTACGAAAACTGAAAACGGTGAGAGACAGCGGGAGGAAAAGATAACGCTGGAAGGAAGGCGCCAGAGCTTCGTAACTTCTCTGTTAGCTAGCCCCATACGCCCACTCGTTCACGCCTGAGAAAGCATCAGGTCTTATCTGACTCAAAGGCCTTCTGCCTTGTGCTAAGTTCGTCATTCCACGCCCCATACACAGTCGACTCTTATGTGTTTTAGCCACCGACGCGACGCGGGCCGTTGACAGCGAAGACGTTGAGAATAGCTACTTTGAAAAAGGGCACGCTTTTATGGCAGTGCTGTTCTCGTTTGAGCATTCGTTTTTCATTAGTCGATACTGCTAAAAAGCGGGAAATGGTGGCAGCTCGTATTAGGCTGGTCAAAAGGTAATGGCGGCTGTTTCCTTTTACCTTGACCTCTCCATCGTTTATTTGCTTTTATATGGCATTTAAAAGCACTCACTTGCTACTCTGTTGCTGTATCTCAATTTGGTTACGGGTCGAACAGAATTTTATCTCGAGTTCAGACTTCCACTTTTCTGCATTTTTTTGGAGTCAGAGAAAAAGTAGGCAAGGACCCATATTTAGCCTAGTTGCATCGATCTAATAGGAAATACCTGGTAAATACAATCAGGCCATTTTTCTCACAACAATATCAGACTACACACGGTAAGAGTCGGTAAAACCGCTCTGCAAGGTCTAGATTCGACTATTCGTTTGCAGCTACCACATCATTCAGACTTCGCGACATGTTTAATTTGAAATGGATCGGAGAAAATTTCACCGATCCATTTCAAATTAAATACGTGACCGTATACGTGCCAGTGAATAAAAGTGAAAGTTCAGTACCAGATTCTTTAAGGTTCTGGCAGACGGAACATGTATATTTCTGTCTGTATACGAAGCTGTTTATCAAGCTTTATAAATTTTGCCAACATGAAGCACAGTCGATCGAGCCTACCAAAGAACAATATACAAAAGATCCGAACTATATCATTGGTGTATATGCTTTCAACATAGACAAAAATATGCTTTAAGGATATGTTTGAATACGTCGTAAATTACTTGTGTATTTAATGAAGCATGTGATCTTTTACCTTGATCGCTTTGCAGAGAAGACGACAACGCCAGGGCTAATTAGCGAAACGAAGATTTTTAAGGAGATAGCTAAAAAGATCGTCAGCCAGCTTTCAGGTATTATATCATCATATAGATTGAAAAATGTATATGTTGTTAAAAGGGAACTGGGCCACTTTATTTAATAAATCCATACAAATAATGACAATCAAATGAAGAGCAATAATATCCGCAGGCAGCATAAAAGCACATACACTATCCTCGTAATGGCTCTGTGTGCGTCTTTTATAATCCAGCGATTATAAACGCCGTGTCCTTTTAAGGCAGGCCTAATTAATTCTTTAATGGGGTCTCTCAGTCAGCGATATCGACTAAATATATACAATGTGGCTGAGAACGAGACTGTTCTATCTCCGTGTTCATAAACGCTACGAGTGAGGTCAGCGGAGTTAGACCTTGATAGAGCCAGTCTTTGACTAAACCGCAGTATGAAATGCACCCAAGTCCTCACATGAGATGATGACAAGTTACTTGGACAATCTACTAGTTTTTTCTCTGTATATACTTTCACCGTTTGTACCATTGATGTACTGTCTACAACCCTCAGCCTCCCCCCCACGGTATTTGATGCGTTGCTGCTGACGTTTGGTTGCAAATCTTCGTTTAGCTGTTCGTTACATGCAGTACTGATGTTAGTATTGCTATAGCCACTGTCCGTCACATACATTTTATGTTCTGTTTTATACGGTTTCGTTTTAGTCCTATGTGCCTTATTATTCCATTTGGGATTTGTTGCGGAAGAGTTGTTGCTGTGTTGGGGGTACTGACAGAGAGACGCGCAGAGGCAAGCCTATCATCAGGAAAAGCCTAACAGTATTGTGGCGAAAAGCTTTGTTCGTGTCCTTTTCAGCTTCCGAGTCCTTTTTTTGTTCCTGCCGGAGAGAATCTGTCAGTTGAACGACGACGAATGGAAAGAAACTTTCTAGGCTTCGTCCCATGCTGATGCTGTCGATGGGATGAAAAAATTTGTGGTGGTAATGTCCTGACGGAACGGGCTGGCTAAAAAGCAAGCTTAGATCAGTGCTAGTAGAATGTAGGAAAGTGACTCGTGTAGCAAAATCAGGATAAACTAGCGGTAGAATGACGTCGTTTTGTTGAGGGCTCCTGGGCGATGTTTGAGAGGAATGAAGGCACTAGCCACAGGGAACAGCTCACAGTTGATTTGGACGTAACTTTGATAAATAATAATATAAATCTACATGATGATAACCGTGTACGATATTGCGAACTACATATCTGTATGAGCCACGAGAGATCCGCCAAAATCTGACGCTGCTTTACATAGATCACTCTGAGCTCAAATCTCATTTTTGCCATCTCGTGTTTTTATACGTTATCTCCGTATTCAATCGGCACGTTTTGTGGACTGGCATTATACGTGTAAGCAGGCTATACGTTTTCCTAGTAAAATCAATTAGTTATATGTATATTGACAGCTACCATATCTTCGACAAATATCAAACGCAGCAAGTAGAGTCGCAAAGGCAAAGTACGACTCCGTTCTCAAGGATGTCCACTTAGGCCTCGTTCTATTCCGGAGATACAGTTTAACTTAATATCGACAAAAACAGCTATAGAACTTACTAGAGCAAAAAATTTTTATACAAAGGTTCCCAGGGCGAGTACCAGTATAACGAAAGCGCATGAGTGATAACGCGAAATGACGTCGCGATGGAAAGTCTCTGTCACGCGATGGCAACTAGCCTTAATCAAAGCTTACAAAGTGGCTTTGCGTCATGGAGATCTTGAATGGGGCGTAGCAGAGCTGACGTTTGAAGCTTAGTTTTATCTCATTAACACTAGTAGTGTTTGCGCACTGTCTACTTAGTGTTAGAAATTCGGAAGCCACGGCAAGAAGGGGTAGCACGCTGATCAAAAGCAGTAACAATGTATGATTGCGTCCGAATGGGAGAAGAAAAGATGGTACTATAATTCTATCTAGTCGTGTTGTCATGTACGATGCAGCATGCACACCGCAGCGCTAGGAGGAGGATTCCGTTACAATCGAAGGGCAACAAAAGAACGTGTGCAAGTGCATCTTCAAATTTCATATGGCAGTCCCTTGTGTAACGTACTATTTGGTAATATAATCTCCAGGTTATGGGACGACGATGAACCTAACAGCTACCCATTTATCCACGTGTTGAGAAGCAGAACAAAACAATGTCACTGTTTTGTTCTGTCTGGGTATGGGCAATTTATCGATTCGGGAAGCATCTAATGATAGATAGTCATATCCGTATTAAATTGTAAAATATAAACTGCAATAAACTACCGAGCGGACCACCGTACCACATGGACGTCGATAAAATCTAGATCAACAAGTCTTATGAATATACGATCACAGAAAAAGATACGTTTTTACCAACGAATAGAACCAGAATTTTACTAAACAGGAGGACATTTCCAGTTTACCTCGTTTATTAGCTTGTTGCGCGGTAGACGCAGCTAAAGTACGGGTACCACGTTACCCGTGTGCATGGTAGAAACTATCTATGCGGTTTTATAATCGTCGCTATATTACAGTTCGCAACTTCGTGTAGGCTCTCCTTCGAGAATTAAGGCCTTTAGAATAATCGTACCGACTCACGATCACACCTATATACAAGCATGTGGGACAGACTGAGGGACGCGAATATGGTCCTATTGTCCTTACCAAATAACGTTTGCCGTGGCTGAAATTAGGAAGTGGTGTTCGATGTTTCCCTAACGCCAGATTTTCCCTCATAGTTCAGAACATTAACACGGACAAGTTGGCTTATTTTGAGTATTAATATTGTTCTGGGCTGTTTGAACATTCAGGACGGAGTAATAATCAATTAGTCGCAATCAACGACGAAGCGCGAAAATTGCCAGTTGTTTACTAATCGAACCTCAAGGACTTGAGCAAACAAAATGACACCCGTTTCAAAGGGAGCAAATTCAAAATATAATAGCTACATGATAGCTTCATAACTATATTAATCCGAAACGGTACAATTGGCAAATCCGGCGACCAAAGGACGACCCGTTTGATTGGCAACATTATAAAGTTAGATGAAGAGGACGTAACGAGCGCCAGATTAACTTAGCAAGTAATCTGATCAGGATTAAAGTTTACTTTGGCATCTTGAAGTTAGCCCATCAATATTCACGTCATTATCCAGCACAGCTGAGCAGGTGTTGGACGTAAACATAGCTCTATTGAAGTAGTTTTCCCTGTATATTCTCAGCTGACTCGACTGATTCAGCTATAATTTGAAGAAACTTAATTCAAGGAAGCTGAAGTTTGGTTTATTGTCTTATGCAAGAGATTCTTTTGTCAAGAGAATAACATACGGTGGAAGGTCGATTTAATGGAAATTTAACTTCCACTGCATAATTAGTCAGTGCTTAAAACTTGTGTACATTATGAGAGCAATAGGGATTTCACCTGCTATCTTTGAATAGACAATATAAGCATATTCTGCTATATGTTTTTGTAGTCTGTATCCAACGCATAAGCAGCAACTGCACTCTTATACTTTAGGGAATTTATTTTCTATCAGTAACAATTAAATATATACAGATAGCAACTAAATGCGTATCACAATTTTGTTCTTTCAAGGTAAGAGTATTGAGCAATTGAGTATTATCAAGTCGACAAACCCACTACCACTAGCGGTGCCACAGCACAAATCATGTGGAGATCCTACGGAGCTAGCACGTCAACCAGATTTACGGTATGTTGGTCGCTGAACGGTTGTACGGGTACATCTTGATTCGGCTAGCCATATCTCTCTTAATTTCTTACTGCCTTTTCCTGACTCTCTCCCGTAAGGAGACCCACGCGTGACCTAGTTGTGGACGGCTGTTGTGTGAGCACATTAACTTGCACGTTGTGATCCCTGATCGCTATTAAAACCTTTTAGTCTCTTTCTGCTGTTGTGTCCGGCCAGCGGTTTGTCACCTTAAGAAGTTGAATCCCTTGGAATTTCGCCCTCTCGCCGGGAGCCCGGCAAGGCTCTGAGATAAACCCGATACTGTACTATTCCAGTTTGTTTTTCCCAATCGCACTGGCACACGTTCGGAATATTCGAATTGGAACTATTCTCAATCATGGGAGTTTTTGGCACTACGGAAAGGTTCAAAGACATTCTAACCGTTAGCGACCCTAAGGCGGTCGTCCTTTCTACCGCGATCTGCAAAACAAGCTCCTATAGCCATGCGTAAAGGGTACAGTCCTGCTTTTTAGCTTTGAAATTTATTCTCTGAATTTAAAGTGGAGTGCTGATCAGCCAGAACTACGAAAGCTATATTAAAATAGAACGAGGAGCTGACTATTATTCCGGGAAGATCAGCCACATGTCATTACCTAATGTAGGAGACTTAATTGATTGATGTTTTTACAATACCTATAGAACCGAGAGAAGCCAATGGGCTCCCATTTAATGATTGTGTGTCGACTGAAATTACATAGTTAAGAAACTTGAACGTTGAAAACTGAAACATGACAATTCGACACTATCCATTGGCATTAAATCCAACCATTACCAAAGACCTTCCTAACCAGGCAAGAATATTTCCGAAAACCGAGCAAATAAAACTACGAGATCCCCACTACGAAAATCCCCTATATATACTGGGCATTAAGGTTTTAACTAGGGCAAAACCAGACTTTAACCTAAGCATGCACCGCCTCTAATCCGGTTCAATATACTAGCTGCTAATATGGTTGAATATGGTTGAAAACACCGGCTAATATGGTTTGATTTTTTTTTCTCTTGAGTTGTTACTTCCACCTTTTTTCGGCTGTAGCACGTTGTCCTTTCTTAACCTGTACATACATCACAGAGTGTAGCACTATCGTCAAATGATTGTTGTTGTGGGAACAGGACCATTATTCGGTCCAATTATTTTTAACGTTAAATGTTGCTATTGTGATCTACTGCTACTGCCACTGCTGTTATTAATGGCGACGAGCGCGTTCGACGATCTTCGGCCTTAACCTTCTTCTAGAAACAGATAAATGCCCGTTATTCCCTTGACTCTTTCCCCCCGTCCTTTGTCGTCGGGTTTGCGGTCTGGGTCGCAGACGGAATGCATTAGACCTTACCAACTGGCCCATTAGCCCAGCCAATTCTTTGTGGGAAAATGATGATATTCCAGTGTAGCCGTTCCGTCATGCGCCACTGTTCCAGGAGGTAAGACGAAACATAAAGTAGTCATAATAATAGTGATTGTACTGTCGGCTGTTGACCTTTCCTTAACAAATCACCTTACGAGATAAGAGGTCTTAACACGGGTGTGTAAGTAGTATAAAACATGAGAGCTGCAGTGGTAGCTGATCAACTGGTCATAGAGCTGTAATCGGCGTAACACCAGAAAGAGCACAAACAGACAGGGCGTGCGGTCAAGTGTAAAACATCATTGACGTTAGAAGGCTGGGCACTGCAAGCCGACTGCCGTGGTTGCGATGAGTACGAAAGGGAAGGCTTGTGCAAGGAGGGGTAAGCATGCGGTCAAGCAAAGTTGGGTCACTAAACTAAGGTTTCGTTCCCCAATATCCATGCGTAAGGACTTGCGGGACTCAGCAGAACCAGGTATTACTAGCTACGTCTGTGTGTATTCTCCCAATCTGAAGGAGATAGGTATGGAGAATGGTACTGGATGCAAACCCAGGGTTCTACAAACGGGTGGCTTCTGTTGCTGCAGACGTTGTTTTCTACAGAAGCTGCTGTTAGTTCGACAATGATTCAGAACTTGTAGCTTTATTTCTTTGGAAATAGCGTCTAGTGCCAGTTGGTCTCGGTCGTCTCTTCTTCCTGATCTATATTCGCTTGTAGGACCTAAAAACACGAAGTCTTTACTGCTTCTACGACTAATTCGGCAAACACGATAAATTCGTGTTATCGTCGATGTATCTTTTCGTATGTGATTGATCGACGGTAACGGTGAGTGTCCGCAGCATCACCAGGATTATTTAAAAAAAAATCGAAGGAAACAGGGCTTTGGGAATCGGTTGAGTGACTTGCTACGGTGACCGATCCCTGTCAATGCGAAGTGCGGAATAGGAACGTAATTACTACTAGATGCTAATAGAACGAAACCAGTGATACCGATAACGAGACACAAGCAACCGACTCCGCTCTACTACTCGCATTACTTTATGAAGATGGCAGATATGCATTGGCATAACATCTTATGTACAATCACATTTAACCTAAACGCAGAAAATAAGGACTGGCCTAAAAGTAATTTCGTTTCATTGATCTCAACCTTGGCCAACGAGCACGCTTGCTTAATCCTGCTTAGCGCTGAGGACAAACATGTTTATAAGTAAATAAATATATGCTTACTTCAAGAATACCGACGTAGTTAAACAATGAAGTAGAATTACCGGTTCGGTTCGTTCGAACCCACCCGAACATATGTACATGGTTAGATATTCTAGAAATCAAGTTTTTAGAACTAGATACCAAGATTATTTCTAGTATTTAAAATGCTTTTTTGTTCCAGACCACTCTTGATCAAGCGCGCAGATGCTGCAGGGGTGTGGCGTGGTGCTCCATATATAAACAAAATACGATACGTTAGCTCAATACTTAAGAACAAAAAAAAAAAGCGAAAAAATAATCAGACTAATGCAGCCGTTCGAATATGTGCTATTCGTGAACTAGCTAAGGTTTAGATTGTGGCCGTAAAATGCGATAATTTTTTGCTAATTGGACCATAGAGCGTGCCATGGCAATGATCCGCAAAGCACTATCTAACCAGACAGTGGAACCAAAAAAATTTTGACAAAGGCAGCAGTCTTGCTGACAATGTTGGTTAGTACCATCTGGGGCGAGTCTGTTGATGACGGGTTGCGAGTTACGGTTAGGGAAGCGGACTTTGAAATGACTGTGTGGGACCATCGCGTTGTAATACATTCGATTTACACAGACTCAGATTTGGAAAAGGAATTTGGCTACGTTTACGAGCCATGGCCATACACACTATAGTGTGATGCAGCATTACAAAGGCGGCGAAAACAAATGTACCTTGAAATGTGCTGCTCTTTATCACAATGGTGCGCTCTGCCTGGAGCTATTTTTGCCCATGCTGAATTATAATCGTAGTATTCCTTGCCGGACCTCGATGGGCCTCGAATGAATACCCAGGCTTCTGGCAACAACTGAGGCGTCAGCCGAGACAGCACTAACTGCCAGATAAGCAACATTCGGTCTGTTTTATTTGTTGTATATAGAAACAGCACGGAAGCCCCACCCCTCAAAGACTAACGCGTATGCTTACTGTGTAAGTCTATGCACACCCAGATAGAGGGCATATACTGTACATTTCAGAACGATGAGTTCTGTGATTTACCCTTGATGGTGACCGAACACGCAGTTATGATCGGTACTGGCACACAGCTTGACTCTCGGTCCTTTCCCGCTTTCTTCCAACTTCTTTCGACCTAACCTTTTTTAGTTTTTCAAGCACTCTCCGAGGCCACAGGCAATGTTCCCTCTGCCTTGCCAAATGTCAGAAGCGGATGAGGGTTCCACAAAATACATCGATCTATCGGGAGTGTAATCGCAGGTGGCCAAACAGGCAGTAAAAAAGAACGAGAATATAAAACGTATCAGCAGCAACTGAAGCGGTTCCGATTTAATAGTATGAACTAACAACTACCCGGTCTGCTAGCCTGTCGTAACAGCCAATGGCTTATTAGTCCACCAATAAAGGTAGCACGCGTCGTCTACACCTTCTCACCCTAAGGCTCTTCTTCTGTCATCTATTTTGCTTGTAATTTCGCCCTCTGTATCCATCCCGTTTGTCACTCGATGCAAGAAAATCAAACGCATATTAAACATTCGCATCCATCAGGGGCAAAACGAGAAGCTTGTGTAAAGACAATTGAACAAAGGAGCGGGGAGGCAACAGTTTCCAGCGATGCTGCGAGCTTACCTAGGGGAGTTGCCCCAGCTGCTTTTAAAGTTGCATTAGCCTGGACTCTGTTACCATCCATATATCGGCCACGCGTTCTGTAGTGAGCGCCTGGGCATGCTTTATATTACTTAACAGAGAAACGGATTTACACGAATATTACATTTTTGAAGTTTACTCCCGAAACACAAGCGCATACCCTTTTCTAAACTTCATTTTAGCAAGTGGCCACCGCTTTTACACTGAGTTACAGTTTCACGCGCAGCATTTTGTTCCGAATAGGCCAGGCTGGCAGATTGATGAACGCGTGTAAAAATTCACGCAAAAGTTAGGTAGTCCTAGCGTCGATTTTTGAAGACGCACTACGTTTTGTGCTAGAGGGGACCGGTATTCTAAAGCAGCGCTCAACGGCAGTAACATTGAATATAAAATTCGAAACATGAATTTAGTTGTGGTAACAGTCGCGGCTGTGCGAATAGTCTAGAAATGAAAGTTACATAAATTCGACCAGTCATCGAAGCATCGGCCACATAGGCCCAGCTCACAACAGGGTTCCACGCCCATTGCGACATATGCAGGGAAAAGAAGCTTGGGGACAGAGAGCCTGGGAGGGAGAAAAGCAAGGTCTAGCGGGGAAAGCAATACGCCGAGCGCGATGTTATTGTTCTCTTTGTCCTTATTGCGCATAGCGTTGGCGAGCAGTTTATAGGACGAAATCTGTCGAAGTGGAGGGGACGCTCGCTGTTGTACGAGGAAGCTGCCCTATCGCTGCGCCCGAGTAGTACAAAGCACGCGCATTAAATCCATTGAA